GACATCACACCCCCAAGGTTCCACCCTTGGTCGCCTGTTGAACTGGTAGGCTCTGCTATGTCGTACGTGTGCCCCAAAGGGGTATTTGCAGTGGCTTGGACACAGCCAGTACTGCCAGTACTAGGACTTGACTGGTGGGGTTCATTGCTAGTGAAAGCAGTGGAAATCCCATGTACGCTGTTAATGGGCAAACTTGAGGGTCCCCCTCCTGCTTTTAAGCAAGCGTCGAAAGGCAGGGACAGGCATGAGGAGCCCCATCGCTCCTGGGCTTTGTTCCTGGTCATACCTGGACTCTTGATCCGTTGATCAAGAACTTGATCTGGGTTCTTGATCGAACAATCGAGAGTTGCTTCTGGATCCTCGATCGACTGATCGAGATCCGTCTCGCACTGGTACGGCCTCGAGTCACTAGTCGGGTCTGACTCTTTTGTGCCCAACCCTCAGGGTTCATTGCCTGATGGGCAGTGGTAATCCCCTGATACACCATTCTTGTTTTGCAATTCCTTCATAATGCGAGATGAATGCGATTTATTGTTACAAGTATCTACAGATACAACATAAGCATGAATATTCGTGTTATAAGGCACACCATGATAAACCCCAGCTGACAAAGTAGAATCGCAAAGTCCTACACTGGCGTCTCTTTTATCTCCTTGATCTCTGTCGGGCTAGTGAGGTCTTCTTCCTCTATTTCTGCTAGGACGGCTCGGAGACGGGTTGCAAAAGTCGATGGCTTTTTCTTTGGGAATTTTAGCCACTTTGACTTGTCAGGCGGGCATTTATTGTCCCACCCCTGGTGTCCAGTGTGTCTGCACCAGAAACATTGCTTTTCTCTTTTGAGACAATCGATGTCCATAGGTTCGCCTTCACCGCCATAGGTGAATCCAGTGGCATCCCTTTTGCCCTTCGAGCCACTCGAAGAGCCCCCCACTGTTCCAGGCCTGGAACCAGCGGTCCCGCTGGGATACTTCCCGCCTTGGGCGAGATGAACTTGGTAGTTCTCATCCATTTGTAGGACCCTGCGCCTCCACTCCCAGTAGGTGGTAGGCCGCATATTGTCTCCGCCCATAATAATCTCCTTGACCCTGGGCCAGATTGTGAGAGCGACGACTTCCTCCATTTCCTCGTCATTGTGGAAGCGTTCAGCTTCCACAGCCAGTTGTTCAAACCTCTCAAAGAATTCAATGGCCGACTTGAACTGCACTTGCTGCAGTTTCTTCCATTGCATCTGCTTGATTTGAACCTCTGCTACCTCCCTGAAACATGTTCGGACGTTTTTCTGGAAGGTTTCCCAAGAAGGGAGACGATGCCTCCCACTGTGTGGGTCCTTATAGTGTCGTTGTTGATGGACCCACCAGGTCATCGCTTCCCCACCAAATCGGTGGGCCGCAAAGACTACTCGACTTGGGCCATACCCATATGCTTCGTTGAGTGTGAAGTATTGGGCAAACACCTCAAAGTAGTATTCGCAGTGATTAAAGAAGTGATCTAGGTTGCTGGCCTTCCCGTGGAACTTGTCAGGGACCTCTATTAGCGTTGGTTTGATGTTTCCCCAGGGGTTGGCTTGCCCATCGGGGATAATCCACCCATTTGGCAGATCAGGTGGTAGAGGGGGATTGGCAGGTTGTGGTAGTGATCGGAGGTTCTGATCACTACGGGGTGACGGTGGTTGCGCTGGAGGTCGAGGTGGTATGGGTGGAGGTCCTCCTCCACCACCTCCTCCTGGTCCTCCTGGACCACCACTGCCTTTTCCGGGTGGAGTGGGTGCTGGTTCACCTTTTCCTCCTGTGGGCGCTGATTGTGAGGGTTCTCCACCCATGCTACAGGCATGGAAGGTTCCTCCTCCTGCCGCTTCCAGTCCTAGTGTGCTGGATGGTGCCCAGGTCATATCCGGGATTGGATTTTCTGGGCCTACTATTCCCAGGTTTGTGAATGACTCTTCACCGTAGCGTCTCCCTGGTGCTATGGGACGGTCAGGATGTATTTTGTTCCAATCAATGGTGGCGTGATACCAGGTTTTGGTATGAAGTATCTGGTCCTCCAGTGCGGAACCTAATTCTGCAGCATTATATGCTTGTCCTTGGTCAGACGTGGCCCAATCCACATTGTACCATAATCGTCTGCTTGTCCACTCTAACATTTGCTGCCATGTTAGATCATATATTTGTCGGTCCATAAGTTCCTGTACTTGAGCCTTGGACGAACTCGGGTGGGTCATCGGAGGGGTTTGTACTGTGGGGGCTACTGGGCCCATTCCCCTGGTGTCGCTGGTCAATGACCAGGCTGGCTCAGGTCCAGGGGTCTGTCCTGTTGTCATGGTCGGGTGAAAAACCGATGACCTGGTATTGGGAGAATATCCCATATCCTGCATACCAGTCATCGTTCCAGTCTCAAACACCCCTGAAGTATCTGTAGTACTCATCCCAGATCTCCAGGGCATCTTCACATTTCCAGATCCAGGGCCATAGGTCTCGGAGTGGGAGGAAACCCCCAACGTATCCATCGGGTAGGAACCCTCCTTCTGGAACAAGGAAGGGCTTGAGCTCAATAGAGGGTTCTGCTCCCTCATACTCGTCGATGGCCAAGGTTCTGAGACGTCGACAGACGGAACAGTTGTAGTAGGGGTATGGATGGGGAGGGGTTTGGTCAAGCTCCCTCGGGATGTGGTTCAGGAGGATGATAGGGTCCGGAAGGGGTTGGTCTCTGGCAAACCAGTCGAGGATTCGGTCTCCCTCAGGCGTGTCTCCTGGGAAGATAACCCACTGTCCCTGGCTAATTGGGGATCCTGGGTGGGTGTAGTACTCTGGGAGCTCCTCATTATTACTGTCGGAGTACTTGGTGAATACGATGTCATCAGGTCCATCTTTGATGGCGTCATTGGTGGAAGTCTCTGATATGTGGGCAAAGCATGGCTCGGCAAAATCTCTGAGGTCAGCAATGGTGATGAGGGTCCTGGGGAGGACCTCGGATTTGGGTCAGGGAGAGGGCCAGACAAAGTCTGACTCATGGATGGAGTCGTCGTCCCACCATGAAGGGGGTCCTTCAACTCTGTAGGTTCCATTGGGGGTGTATGACGAGAGAGAGATTGGGGCATCGTGCCACTCTGGCTCTGGAGATTCATCTCTTCGATGTCCTCCTGCATCGTCCACTCTCCGTACGTCCCCTGGTCCCCAAGTAGGGAGGAATGGGTTTTCACCTTCTTCGAAGGTGGTTCTTCGCCTGGTTCATCCATGGACGATTCGATCAAATACGTCAATGTAGAACATACTCGTTCCTCTCTGGTAGAGACGCTCTCCATCATCATCGAACCCTGGGATGGCTGCTGATAACTCTGTGGAGGCGATTGATGGCTCCCTGGAGTCATTGTTGTCGCCCCATGTCGTGGCATCCCAGGACCCGTCTGCATTGGTCCAGTACTCGATGGTAAATCTGGGGTCGACTCGGCTGTCTCCATCGTCTGGAGGGATGCTGAGTCATCTGAGCTCTTCTTCCCGAAGGGATTCTTCACCTTCACCATCTCGCTGATCCTTGCCCTGAAGCTCGAGTGTGGGGGCTTGCTCTTCTCCATCAGGTAAGGGGTGTCGAAGTGCGTCTCGCTCCCTCCCTGGCCGGGGTGTGAGTGAGCGGAGCTGGACGGTGCTTGTTGTTCGTGAGGTTCCTGTTGATGAGCCATTGAGTCCGTGTACTCTCCCTCTTCTGGGGGTCGGTGCTCTTTGGCATCAGGTTGGTTGGAGGATATGAAGAACTGCGACTGCAGTTACTAGTGTCAAGATACTGAAGGTACTTCCGAAGATAATGGTGGCATGGTCTGAGGGGGTGAGCAGCATAAAGTTCATTGTACCACAATGAATGTTTATGATCTCAGGGTATGGTGGGTGCCCTTTTAAATAATGGGCTGAAGGTTTCCTTTCTTTGGAAGTATAACAGTGACTGCCTTGAAGCGATACAGTTACCGTTTCAACAACAGTAAGGGTAGTAAGGACAAGCTTTGGCTAATTGTTATGCACTAACTCTAATCTGTGCTAAGGCTGGTCTCTATCCTGTCACTCGCGTTCAGTGATTCAGTGTTAGAGAGGCATTGGTAGATTGCGAGAAGTTAGGCGTCACTTATAGCGAAAGCAAGGAGCTTGTAAGAGTTAGGAGTATATAACCTTAGCCAAAGCTGGGGCTTAAGGCCACAGCGTAGGCTAGCTTAAATACATGTTAGACTCATACTAAGAATAGTGTCTACAAGGGCATGTGCAATGAGAAGTGTGTCTTTCAACAAATGAGGAGTGAGGACACTAAAAGAAGTGTACTCCCAATGAATGAGAGTAAAGAGCGCATATCACCTGCATCTGCACAGGACTCCATCTGAATAGGCTGCATCCCGCAGACCGCCCTCGACTGGCAGTCGACTCTCATCGAACTACTAAGAAGCATGATGCCATCAAGAGAAGCATGATAGTGCATGCAGGTTGTCAGTCATCTGGGGTGCAGCAGCTGTGAACTGGGGTGATGGCAACCAGGTAAACGGGTAAGAAGTATGCCAGCAGAATATCATGGGTCTGAGAGATAAGATAGGCAGGTCCAGGGTTCCGAGGGATAAGGATAAGATAAGATAAGGAAAAATAGGGGTAAAGTCATCATAGTTTTGGATCTCTGGAACTATTGTATTGTCACTTCTCATTTTTCTCAGTGCATTAAACCCTCATCCATCTCTTTAATTCACAAGTGGGGTGATGCCACAGATCTTGCTAACTTCCATGGTATTTGCACAAGTAACCTGTGCATGAACATGCCTTTTGCTTGGTTGAATTCACTGCTAACTGCCTATATTGCTGAAAATGGTATTCTACCCAAAGGCCAGATTGTGACTCAACCTGGAGTTCAAGGTCATGATCTCACCTCTTTTCTATCACAGCTGGAGACTTGGTCTGACTGAACCAAAACTCCCTTGTATGTTATCCAGCATGATCAGAAAAAGGACTTCAACAGACTGGAACCTCAAGGTTTTTACAATGCCATTGCTGCTTATGGTCTGCCTTCCTCAATTATTGATTTTGATGTTTCTGCACAGACTGATGTGTCTTACTGCATCAAAACTTTTTATGGTTTCACTAATCCTATCACCATCAGTGGTGTCACCAAACAGGGTGGTCCTCTATGTCCAATCAAGTGCACTCTCACAAGTAGCTTGGGGAGCCACTGGTTATCAGATTCTCTGCATCAGCATGGTGATGGCATTCAAATTGTTACACTCCAAGCCCTTCGTGGTCGACCTCACCTTCCCAATGACTGTATAACGGTTCTCATCGTCATGATGGAAGCCATGGATGACTCTGCAATAATCACAATGTCAATGCCCACCTGCCTCTCTTTGATAATGATGTCTGAGACCTTTCAAAGTGCTTATGGCAGTGAAACCAGTTGGTCAAAATCTGCAGCCTTCCTAAGAAATGTTCAAAACCCACCCTCTCAGCTACAGGTCACTTCCATCGATCCTATGCAACCTCATATCCAAGTTCAGCACAATCTTGCAGTGTCCACATCACACATTGAGCTTCTGCATGTCTCCATCAATAATCCCGATGTGCAGTTTCAGAAACTCAAAACTTTGGTATTGTCCTTTGTTTTTCCTTCACTTCAGAATATTCGTCTTCCTTTACCTGCCTTGCGATGGGTTCTGTCTCAGTGTCTCATATCCAAGCTGAGATCCCATCTTGCTTATCAGCCAATTGCAGAGGCAGATGCACTACACCTTGATCACTTGATTGCAGCAAAAGTGCACGAATACTTCTCGTTCCCTTTCATATTTAATTCTAACTTGCTCTCTTTACCTCTTTCTCTGTTTGGATTTGATTTCCCCTCTGTCTCTCATCTTAATTGTGTCACAGCTGTTAATGGTCTCCTTTGCGACCTTAACCATCATATAAGAACCTTCCAAAACATGGCTCACATCACCCTCACCAATTGGACATGCCAATTAAATCATTGCTCCTTTCCTCTTCATGGCTCCTCCCTCAAAATGTCCTTCATGTGCCACTCAAATAGCCTGCCATTTCAGTGGCAGCTAGCACATAATACCATCAGTCACAATGGTTTGTCTGTCCATAATACAGATCTTTCTTTCTTGTTCCATGGTGATGTTCCTTTGTGTCATGTTAACCATTTTCTGTCAAGTCCACTAAACCTCTCTCCACAATCCATAACAAACCTGGCCAATGCTGGCCTTGTTAAGCTCTCTGACATTGCCTATTTCTCTCCAGATCCCAATGGTGTCTCTCTATGGCTCACACCACACTCAAATATTCGTTTCTTGAACATGACAATACGAGCTGAAGAACAATGGCCAGAAACTGCTGAATGGCTCCGCCGTCTTACATTGAAGGACCTCGTTAATGGATATATGGCTCAGGGTGATGTTGGAAGGATGTCTGGGAAATGATGGAGAGATGGTGATCAACCTTGCATGCAGAGTGCTGGCATGAATGACTGCATTCGTCATGGTGCAGTGGCGACTGACACTTTCGAACCTCTTTGGTTCCTTGGATTACCACCACGTTGCCATATGCAAATGGCACACAACCTAATCAATGCTTACCATGCTGTGTCTACCCATGCCCATCTTCCTGCATCCATTCCTCCTCAACTTTTCACATCAGATGCTTCCATGAATCCTGCCACACCCTCTCTATGAACTCAATGCTCTATTACATTCTCCTCTGTCTCACACCACTCTTCCCTTGCCCTTAATCTCAACTTCTTCCATACTTGTGCCTGGGTTTATCATGGTGAAACATATGGACTGATAGCATCGACAATACATCAATACAACTTACCTCCACCTCCTCCAAATTCACCATCTTCCCCAACTCTTTACACTGACCACCTCAACTCAACCTGCATCATATCCTCTGCACTCCACAGTCCCCTATCATCTCATCAATGGTCATCCCTTCCTGGCCGATCCCTTTATCATTGGCTCCTCCACTTGTTACAACACTCCCGACCTCTGCATCATCCTCCATCTATCGTCTACACCCCTGCTCACACCAACTCATCGTCAATCCCTTTCCAGATCAATGCCATCGCAGATCGTGTTGCTTCCAGTTCTCAGTACCTACAAATTCAGCTACCTCCCGCACCTTTACCTACATTTTTCATGGATCCATTTATGCTTTATTCAGAAAATGACAGCTACATTGAGACAAGTGTTCCTTCTTATATGCTATCCATGCTAACTTCTGCTCTCTATTCTAGTCCAGATTTCCATCCTGCCACAACAATGTTCTTGCTATTTTATGACCACCACACTCCTCTGGAGCACCCTTATTTGTGTGCCTCATCAGTGTATTTGGCCTTGGTGCAGCTCTACACAAGGTCAGACCAATTGGACATGGCATACACATGATTCTGACGTTTCAGAAATGTATCCCCCATGTGTATTAGTGGATGCGATGCACTTGAAACAGTCCATCATGTTTTCGTTTCATGCCCTGCATATTATTCCTTCCACCAACACACTGTTCAAACACTTATCACGGAGACATCTCGCATCCTCAACTCTGCAGAAGTGCCCCTGCTGATCTGCAGGGCATTTCTTCATATTGTCCAATGTCTCTTTGAAGATGGCCCAGTATAGCCCCAATTGGTATCTCACTTCTACCTCGGTCTAACGCCATCCCTGCCCATGATCCCAGGACTCAAGGGAGAGAAAACAAACCAGGTGTTGGCTTGCATCTCTCATACTTGGCACACAGCATGCATATGTCTGGCAGGCAGAATTTGGGCTGAATACAAGTGAAGAGTATGTCCAGCCTCAACCAAAAACAACACCAATGCCGTAGCCATACAATTACCATCCTTTTTATTGCATATTTCATCTTCTTGACCTTTTTTCTTCTTAATATGTGTAACCTTATTTACAATGAGCTACCGAGGTAGATTAGTTTACGCTTATTTACCTGAGCTGTATCAGCAGAGGTGGCCAATCAATCCAGTTTTCCAGTTTGCCTTAGTGCTGACCTTGTGACTGTCACACTTCCATCTTGACTGCTGCTTCATCATCAAGCTCAGGGGTGAGCTCATCTGTTTTCCTTTTCTTTGATTTTATCCTCATAACTTGCTTGTAGTCCCTTTGCCATTGTTGTCGATCTCGAAGATGGTGACCCGGTTCTCCCGTGTTCAAAAATCCAGAGGTAAGCTTTTTCCCCTTCTGAGTGCCGTTGCCTTTTGTTCATGAAAATCCTTATCTGTAGCTATAAATCAATCAATTGCATTGGTAGGACATGGGGCTTCCAGTGCATGTATTGTCTTTTCGATGAATTTCTGTATTCTCAACTGCCTAGGTTTTTATAAGCCTCTGTCTCCTTGAACAGTCAATTGATGCCTCTCACCAGCCTGTTTTCACATGCAACATGTCCCACAGTATGCCTTCTCAGTATACCCTCACCCATCTCTGATGCCATCATTTCAGAGTGAATTGAGACATCTCTGACAAGCCCAATCAAGAGATGCCAGTCCACCAACACCAACACCAACACAACCACCCACAAGTTCTACAGTCATGGCAGCTGTCTTGCCAGCGCTCAGCAAGCATAGTGCCCCAGCTCGAATCAGAACAGCTACTCAAGATCCTTGTCTGTTAGCAGTGCAATGTTTTCACTGTGAATGAGGGGTTGATGGTAGTGTTATTGGTGTGGTATTTGAAGGTGCATTGAGTTTACAATATTTTTTTCTCTTCTTTTTCATTGGTATTCTAACAAGTAGGGTCATATACAGTGCATGCATTCCACCAACACCTGCAGCAGAGTCATCACACCCAGTGTGGATGCGTACCCTGACTGAGGACAAACAACATCTCTGCACTGACTCCCGCCCTTCAACACTCACCAAGCGCAGTGCAATGGCTCAGTTTATGATGACAAAGGATGCTGTGAATGAAGGCTTGTTGGTATTATCAAGGTGTGTTTACTTTACAAGGGTTTGCCATTGGTATTCTAACAAGTAGCTTACACAGAGTGCATGTGCATCCACAGCAACACTCCCAGTCCACACCCACAAGATGGAGTTACCTTGTGAGGCAGTGCCTACTATCCGAACACCATCCTGCATGACGCTGGTCCTCCTTCCCTGCATTGCTTGGCACCGACACCGTATGCAGCCATCTGGTGAGACGCTGCAATCGATGCTGCAAGCATGAGAAATGAAGGATGAGGGCTGGCAGTGATTGCAGATGGATGAAGGGAGGTGCATGACAGTGGCAGTCAATGCAGGTGGAGGGTGGGTAGTGCATGAAGGGAGAGAAATCAGATTGAAGAGGGTGGAGGAAGGCAATGTTGGCACATGTAGTCATAGATTTTGTACACATAGACGAGGTCAAATATCAGTCTTGAATGCATCTGTCACATGAGTTGGGGTTAATGTCATATTTTGATCTGAGAATGCTGGGAATACACCCCTCTGACTTCCTAATGTCAACACTGCTGCTTGCTGAGTAGCGTTGAAGAGGCTGGCTGTGGGCACCTGTGGAATAGTGAGCAGGCTAAAAGGCAAACCTCAAAAACCCACACACACACTCACACAACTACACAAACTACAATCACCCTCATAAGTTCTAGGGGGAGCGATTATTTCTAATGCAATCCAACTATACTCCAATATCTCGAAGAGTTTCTCTTATTCTCAGTGCTCTTAGCAAAGCTAAGCTTTCTCTAATGAATTCCTAAGTCTAGGAACTTTTTACAGGAAGGTCGTTCACTGGCGCAACGCAACCTTCAAGGCAGATTTGAGTTATAATACACAAGGGACACTGATCCCGACAGAAACAGAGGCAATACATGCTGAAACTTTAGTGAGCTCGCTAAAAGAACACCACAGGCAAGCACTGACTTAGCCCACTCGCTACACAACTGTATGTAGGGGTTCTCCAACTAACTCCAGCAGGTTATCTCGACTCAAGAACACTTCAGAAGCGCTCAGAAACAGATTCAGAAACGGAACTTCGAACAGAACTGACATGGAACAGACTGAAACAGAACAGAACAGAACAGAACAGATCTCAGATTTCCACTTCAACACATTCTCCAAACAGACTTATCACACTTAACAGAACAGAAACAGCATCACTGATTCATATTCACTCTGACTAAGTTCTCAAAAGTCTTATCAAAAGGGTATCTCATATTTCTCTGAGTGAGCTCGCTAATTCTATGCACAGCTCGAAGTCACAAACTGATCCTTTGTTATGGTACTGCCTTCAACACGTGCATGGGAACTCGGGGGCTCGAAACCTGCCTCTACCTACTGTAACCAGCCTACTTATACTACAGGGGAATTAGAATTACAAACGTCACGCAGTACCCAGACTCCTACATGCGTAGCACGTTGCCACCGCTGCCTTACTGAGCATCCGAGTTGGACTTCCCAGTTTTAGTCTCATTTCTATAGTGAGCTCGCTAAACACATGCCAAGAGGTGCTCTCCCAACACCCATGGGCTTGTTCTCTAGTGACCGACAGGTCTAGGCACCCGGAACTATCAGTCCTGGCATATGTCATTCAAGACTTCTTTCTTGGATTCACAGAGGCTTCTCATAGACACGGCAACAAGTGAGTCTTCTAACAATGGGACTCAGAACAATGGGACATGGGCTCGCGGACTTTGGCCAAAGCCCATTGCCCAAGTTTGTGCCGGTGATATCTGTCATCTCGCTTAAGGATTTCCCCAGATTTTCAGGTATGACGCGTCACAGTTAGCGAGCGCACTAAGTACTCTCAGTGTCACTGCAATCTTCAAGGTTTTATCTAGCTCCCGTGAGCGTGCTTGTAAGTTAGAGCCTAAGGCATTGGGTATAGGGTTTGGCCTTCTCATCACGCATGCCCATCAGGTACAGTGCTGTGACTAAGTCCTGTTTAGAATCCCATTGCTTCTTATGCCATAAGTTATATTCCATATCATTGCACCACGTAGCACTAGTGTTGACACGTAGTTTTAGTCCACTTGCTCACTATATCTTAGTATGCGTGTAAAACACTTTAGATTGCAAAATTACACACGTAAATAGGCTGCAGTCGCAACAGCATCAACACTTGTTTCGAGCAGTTTGGGTGAGATCACATTGTTCGAGTAGGGAAATGCCTACCCTCCCATTGCAAACACCTGTAGAAAGAAAGAATTAGCTATCACCGATGGGCGAGTGAGCGGCTATACCTTAATTCCAGCCAGAGCAGCAAATATCAGCATAGCGCTGCAAGTCATTCCTGTACACAATTCAGCCTCTGCGAAGCCCCAGAAATCCAGCCAATACCTCCATCCATCTTCACCCCAATCACAGGCACAACATCCCTTCTCAAAACCTTAACAACCCTAGGATTCCCCTCCCTATCCACCAACCTCTCAACCTCATCTCTCTCCAAGCCCACCTTGACACATCAGCTGATGATTCCAATAGTAGCCAGGATACACCCCATGGATCGTACAATGTCTTCTAGGTCCAACACGAGGGTGTAGTTGATTGGGTAAGGGAATCCATGGGTGATGAGGGTGGTTTCAAGGGCTACTATGAGTTTGTGCGTGGATAAGGCTTCTTGGACTTCGGGGTAGATATCGAGGGGAGTGGTATGGTGGTAGTGAGGGGCTGTGCTGTACGTGAGTCTTCGAGCGAGGTGTGCATGAGTCAGGATGGTCCTGGTCATGGCTGGTGTTAGAGGGCGTTAATGCATTCTGAGCATGAGAGGGCTGAACTAAAGGCCCGGTCTCAACCATGACCACTCCCAAAGCCTCCATTGACATCGCTCTAGACGTCCTAGGCAGGGTCTGCTCGATAACTCCACAGTCTCTGGACATTCAGCAAAAAGTCAAATATGTAGGGGACAATGCTGTGGGTGCTATGGCCATTTTCATTGGTAAGGTCGACTCGCTCTTAGCTTGGCTCTGATATCCTTATACTACTGCTTACTAGCTACTATGAAAAATTCATTCAAAGATTGGTATCAATCCATCGGCATTATGGGAAAATGCACATCTATGTGCTAGAGAGAACTGTTATGCACCTCAAATACCAGGCTTACTCAAAATTAGCTATCAAGACTATGGCTAGTATAATTTGAGATGCATGACAAAGCCTAACACACTCAGAACATCAACCAGAATTGCAGAGCTCCTTCGTTCATTGCGCCGTTCATCATTGGATTGGTGTCATTCCCGTTGGAGAACCCTCAATAGGTATTAGTACAAAACCAGTCCTTCCCTACACTAACTCAAGCCCCAGTTATCACCGTCTCCTCTCTCCACCATAAAGAGGTCTTTGTAGCATGCGAGAGGATCCTCGAAGAGGTGAAACAAAAAGCACAGATTTGGAAACAAGAATACTATGAGGGAATGGATGACAGCGAAGCAGAGTGGAAAGCTAATGCATAACATGTACAGGAAACCATCAATCATTAAGCTACCTTCCGCCATTTTTTTTGGACTGTATCTAATGAGCCCATCTGTGTCTTCTCCATCACTCAACGATCAGGTATCTCCCCTTGTTCACCATCTTTTCTAGGGCACCCGGTCACTCTTCTGTGTAACTTGATTTAACTTCTCCCCAATACCGTCATGCCATGCCAACATTAGCCTTGATATCTATGGCTCATCAGCCTATTCTCTCCACTCAGTCTTGGCCTGTGTCACCATCTTTGCCAATCTCGGCATCCAAGTGATGGTTGATGAAGAACCAATGATGGAAACAAAGATGAGTTGACTTGTACTCGGATACATTGTGTAATGTCCTGTCTCTGGAAATGTATTGAGTGCTGGAAAGGAAACAGCCTGTGGAAGAGATCAGGATTCTTTAAGCTCATTATGGGGTACGTGTTGTATTCTCTTCCCCCGCTTTTCTGATAGGTACTCCATTTTTAGGATAGCTTTCTCCAATCTTATATGACCATGTTTCGGGCTCTCATTTCTATATGATTTGCAAAGCTGGTATCTCTAATAGAACTCAAATATCAGGATCCTTTGGCATAGTGACATTCGGAACTGGCACCAAAACTTTCCTAGATTGTGGAGCAAGACCTGCTTAAGATTCACATCATGACAGAACAGGCTTGCATTGGTAGGCATCTCACTTCAATGAATATCTTGATTCTCTTCCCGGATAGAACCTAATTCAACAGAACACATATCTGTGAAGCTCACAGTTTATGTAAGTGGCTTTTCTACAATAGAGGCTTTTCTCCAGAAATATCTCACTTTGAGTCATGTCGATGGTCGCACTTGTGAGTTGAAATGAGTTGAAAATGTCAATGTACATCATGGTTCATTAGCTCATCGAACATGCATAAGGATCTCAGTTCGACTTGATACTAATGGATATCTTTGCAGCAGCCAATGAACATGTCCATGGGCTGCACCATTTATAATGGTAGGGTTGGTACATGTTATTCTCACCCACTACCCCATGTCTCTTTTCCTCATGGTGACTCAGACAGATATTCCACCAGATCTTACCAATGAAGACAAAGCTTTGGTGTTTCAAAGTCTTGATGCTTCCCTGAACACCCAAATTCTCTATGCACTATTGCATGGTGGGCAACAATGTTTAGTGCCTTGACATGTAAGTGTTAATTGATGACAGGCATATACACTGGAATTCTTGCTGTTACATTGTGGAATATATGTAAGCCAGGAGCATCTCTACTATGGCATCCAAGTTGATGTGAGTTGTACAGTCATCAATAAATGCTGGCCAATCCGACGAGCCCTGGTTGTCATTATTATTCTCCTCCATGCTCTGATTACTATTGATGTTGCTTTCCAATGGTCACTTATATACTCCACATTCATTCAAAATGGACAAAGTTTTTGGACTGTATTCTTGAAGATTAACAGTGTGAGCCAAGCAGTCTATTTGGAGGCAGGTACTACAGCCTCTATGAGTACCATTCTCACAGACTCATATATTGTGTGCTACTTCACTTGTGATTATCTATGTCAGCTTACCATCTTTTCAACTCTAGATTTGGTGCTGTTGGATGGTTTGGGGAAGGTGCTGGCTTATTGTCCTGCTTCCAATCCTTTGCCTAATTTCTGCAACTGGTAAAGTATCCAATCTCATCTACTCTTTTCATATATTTAACTTCTGTGTAGTTTCAAAAATCATTGGTATATATCATGTGTATTTCACTGGATCTGACTCAGTATTCCAGATGCTCTATGTATCCTTGGTCCTGGTAACAACATTATGGTGCACACTGCTTATCATTTTCCGCATTTTGATTGTTACTGGGGTTAGACGTGGAGCAGGCAGCCGACTGAGAGTTTATTACCATTTTATTGAAGTGCTAGTAGAATCCTCTGCTCTCTATTCAATAACTCTGATTCTATACTTGGCTTTCATCATTCGCCTTGATTTTGGAGCATATTATCTTGAATCTATAGCTACTATTGCAAAGGTGTGTTCATGATCTTAAAAACTTGTTATTTATTAAGCACCTTGTGTAGGGAGCTGCACCCACACTCATTGTTGGCAGAGCAGCAGCAGGACACACACGTCCACATGAAGAACATGATGAAAGTTCAACGGTGTCTACCATTCGTTTCCAGACATCTTCACAATCTTCTCAGCTTTCACAACCTTCCATGGCAAGCTTTCAGGACTCCAACACCATGCAGAGTGCAGTCCTTGAAGTGGACATTGAAGCTCAAAGGGAGCAGTCAGATGAGCTTGTGGTAGTTGTTGAAAGGTCAGAATAGAGCTCATAGCTAACATCTGAAAGTCGGGGTGAGACTGGAGACTAAATTTAGACTGTAATTTTTTGCTTGGTATCCTTTTTGATTATCGTACTCTACTTAATTATAGTTAAGCTATTACAAGATGGTTGCACCTAGCTAAACACGCTTAATGTGCGAAGCAAGAAAGGAAGTGTCGGGGTTAACCAAACTCATCTTGTTTCTTCCTTGTCAAGATTCCACCCTGTGTTTTTGCCCTGCCATCTGGGAATGCAAAAGTTTGCAAGGACCACCTTTTGGAACCCCAAATAATGGCAGGAACATCTTCCGATGTGATATCCGGAGAATATTTGAAAGGCGAGGTAGCAGATTCTGGTGCATCACTCGACCACAACATATGTTGTCTTTCTGGTCTAATGAAGATCATTGGGTGCTACTAATCTCGAGGCGGGGCTGCCGTAAAACGGTCGGAAGCTAGATATCACCTTGAATGGTTCAGTCTCAGACGTCTATTCCCAGACAACAAGCACTACTCTCCACAAGCTCAAGCTCGCAACCTTCCAAATGCACCGTCGAACCCAGGTCTGCTGAAGACATCGTGAGTATCACCTTTGCTTGTTTGTTCATGCCTGACTTCATCTCAGCTGGGCAAAATGAAGACGCCGTTTGGTGCACATGTCCAAGTCGCTCCGATGAGGTCACGTACGACTCTGCAACACATACTTGGGGGAGTAAAGCAGACTGCCAGAAAGCACAGATTTGGAAACGAGAATACTACGAGGGAGCAAAGCAGAGTGGAAAGCCGATGTATAACAAGTACAGGAACCTTTAATCATTAATCTACCTTCCATTCTTTTTGAACCGCATCATCTTCAGTACTAACAAGTAGTTCAATAGACCACATAACTAGCGTGAAAAAGATGTTTATCCATCGCCACCATACTTGGGATGAATGATCCAGCACTGGAAACTGGATCAGCTGATGCATTCGGGTGAAAGACGAAAAGACTCACAGAGGAGGTGAGAATACACAGTCACGAAAATCAACTGTCGATAAGTCAAGAGTATCCGAGTCAACGTCAACGTCTAGAGGAAAGATTAGCGCAAAGACATAAGTATACACGTTTTCTCACCGGTCGATCTTCCCATCCATTATCAACGCCATCCTCATCGTCCCAACTATCGGCACCAATACCCGGCAAGATCTTCGAAGCCAGCTGCAACACAGTTAGCCTGTACAACAAGGCAACCAGCACAGGTTTAGGCAGCGTGTTCGTAACAAAATTGAGCAAAGTCTGAAGATGAGGAATCAGGTTTGGGAGGAGTGGGACACTATCACGAAATTCAGCGTCGGTTCCCTGGAGGATATAGTGGAACATACTAGGAATAAGACGGATCCGAAGACAACTCCTGGTCAAACCCACAAAGCCAGACATTGTACGCCATGAACAAAGCGAGGCCCGAAGACTCGATTATATTCGTCCGCCTCAAAAAGAACCCAATGAACGTAAGAAAGAGCAAAGCGGTAATCGCAACTCCGAGAAACGTCGAAGACAACGGGGAAGACGCCGCCGCAGGGTACGCCTAGCGAGAGTCAGAACCCACGAGCCTATCACACACACAAAAGAACCAAACGCACATTAACAATCCACCAAGCACTAGCCACATACGTCCCAGCAGAAGCAATCAACAACCCAAACTGATACATCTCCCCCTCCTCCACCAACCTCTTCCCCTGCTGCCCCAGCTTCTGGACCACCACCAAACTCGAGAGGCCCTCCAGAGCGATGAACAGCGGGCCCATGTAGGTGAGTATCGTGCCCCATACAGAGGTGGCGGGGCCGAGCCACGGATGGACGGAGGTGGAGAATGCATTGAAGCAGACGAGGAGGAGGAACGGGTGCATGGGGACTTGGAGGAGCGATAGCGCGGGGGAACCCCATAAGAGGATGAGGGTGCCATGGATGGCAGCATGTACTGTGAGGAGGAGGGAAAGCAAGAGGAATGCAGGTTTTGAGAGCGTGACTAGTGTGAGAGGGAGGAAGATCAGGATCTGGAGGGCGGTGGAGAGTCTGCGAACATGGTTGAGAAATGTATAGGTCAGCTACGAGAAACGTTACCTGGCAGTATGGGAGAGTGCGCTCCACAGGATCCAAGGGCTAAACGACATGTTCGCGTCTAAAGCCTTGTCGGTACACGCATGCCACTCACTCGACGCGGGACAAAAGAATCACGAACAACGTGACTACAACAGGGGCCGTGGTAAATTCCCTCTTGTCAGCTGATGTCAGTCTGCGACGCGTCAACGTTCAACATCCACTATGCTCTCAAAACTTCCTCTGCTACCAGGATGCCTCTTTGCCGTCACTCTCCAAAATGGTTCCTTCTTCCCGTGTACTACCCCTGCCGAGCTATTCCTTACATCTTTTGATCTAAATTTGTTTTGCCCTACAAAGCTTCGCTCGACACCCCCCGACGACATCAAAGGCGTGCTGATTGCGAATTGCGCCTACCGGCGGGTAGCAGCCCCGCGATGTAAACGAGCTCTCATCTCACATTGTCTTCAACCTATTCCTTTCATCGACGTCATGGCAATCAATCGCATTCCCAGACGACTGCGATCTATTCTCCCTCCCCTTCATCCCGCTCCAATACTGAAGTACTCAATATTTGAACAAACTTGTCCCACCCCTACTACGAGGAGACGCCCTCAATCCAAAGCACAAAACAGTCATTACCCACCTCCCCTCGCGCTGCCCTTCCTGACGTATCCAAAGCACAAGTGCCTCTACTCTGACACCGTCTTCCCCCAGTCTCCCCAGAAACAGGTGTTCTGAAGCCTAGAGAGAGACGTTGTGCCAGAGAACAACCTCGAGCTACAAGCATTTCTACCTTGGCTCAAATTTAACAGCCCGAAACTGTCGCTGCTATTTTCTGGGTTTATGGTTTCCCATTCGCTACGACACTGGGGATTCTCCTCGCTGGGCCAGTGACTGAAAGCCTAAAGCGAAAGTTGGAAGCTGTGTCTGTATCTCGGGCCTCCTTCACAGTATCATTCATGACAAGGCAGGTCTTGCCGAGGTCTTCGAGATCGAACTCGACAAACTCACGTACTTGGGACGGCCGTTTATGCTACTATTGCACTCTAGATCAAAGGATACGGCTCTCCCTCCAAGTAAGTTTATCTCACCCTACCTGAAGAAGAAAGCTTCGTTTTTGACTGACATGCTCTGCAATAGGAACACCGCTTAAAATCAAGCTTCAATTCAGCTATCCAAATGATGACAGCATGCTCCTCAAGGAACGGAAACGGGGACAACTTGGACTCTTTCCGTTCTTCGCGAGATAGCTCTAATCAGTAGAAATTACATTCCTGCCGACTCAGTATATGTATCGTACAGTTGGATGTAATCTCAAAGTTGTTGATTGATCAACTTTGTGCCTCGCACAGGTAACTCCTAGTTAAATTCCAATTAGTATGTACAACAAAAAAATATGCTATTCTTTATAATCTATGGCGACGATAGCTCGTTGCGAGGCGTAAGCAACCCCTTCTCTCGTGCAAACTCGACAGTTCGAGCGGAATTAGGATCCGAAGGCGCGACGTAAAATTGTTCGGTTATCGGTATCCGTAAAAGGTTCATCTTGGGCGTGATGACGACCATGGCATTGGTTTTTATTTCCATCCAATCGGCTAAGGAAAGAGTGTAAGTATGGTATATGAACGACAGAGGCAATCCTCACCTCGTTCAAACGCAAGTGGTTCGCTTGTAATCTGGAATGATATGTACAAGTTAGAAAAGGACGCACCATGAACATGTTCTCCTGCTTGTCAGCCTTTGACATCTTATAGTGACCGCCATCTGCGTATTCACTGAACGTTGTGCAGGACGAGAACCACTGCAATCGCATCAGCCAAGTTAGCCTGACAGACCCTAGCAATACCAGGGAAGCCACTTCATCTTTCCGTGATGAGATATACCGAGTGGCAATAACAGTATCTCCATCCGTTACACAAAATTCATAAGACTCGGCTATAATGCAACACAATCAGAACCATGAACACCCCCAAAAGAAACAGCATCGAACAAACCTCAGTGATCCCAGCCTCTTCCACAAATGTCCTCAGGGAAGCAATCGTGTCAAGCATCGCCTTTTGCAATGTTTGGGAGCTCAAGGTCGTGGCGTTCGGGTCTGGGAGCTACCCGGGTATGAGAAACCGAAACCGAAATGAGAATTCGGGTTACCTTTGATAGGAAGAGTGCAAAGGTCCATTCAGAGTCTAATGGGCTGCGTGAGCTGGGAGATGGAGGGAATTTGGGGTACGACTCGCCTGTATTGCCTTGGACCATGTCAAAGGCGAGGTCAGGCAGTTGACTCTGCAGTTTCCGCTTTATCAGATGGAAATCGGCGATTCCACCGTTGTGCATGAACTAAAGTCCGTCCGTCCGTGAGTCACGACTCGACTAGGCAAAGGGGAAATCAATGTACCATGAGCTTTCCGTGTACAAACGGATGGCAGTTGTCCAGAGACAACGATCCCGCTGTCATAGCTCGTACGTGTCTACTTGAGGATAATGAACATCAAAGCGAGGTAGCAGCCAACGTGTCCGACTCTCAACACCAGTGGCGACTTGATCTTTTCAGCGAGTTGTGTAAGATTGACATTATTCCATGCCTGGATCTCTTCAGATAACTGATGACTGCACACACTCACAGGCGTGACAGACGTGAATATGCAAGGCTGGGCACTCAGTCCCTCGTCGTATACAGAATCGTACCATCCTGTCCTCCGATTGTCAGGAAAGGATCTCACACCCTCCAAGTACGTTCGCACTTTGGGCCTGAGCACTCAGCACCACATACACTTCGTCCCAAATATTGCCGGCACCAACCACCGCCGCAAAGTCGTACGTCGTAAGGCGATCTGGAAACCGGTCATTGAGGAGAATCCTTGATTCGTGGCGTATCCACCGCCGCTTTTGGGTGGTTAAATTTTGACTTGGACGCGTACAACTGAACGGCATCAAGAGGAAGATTCGCGATCACGGATGGGCTGCAAAGGCGATTATTCGCAATGATACCGACATCTTCGCGTTCGATGGTGCATTTGGAAGGTTGCGAGCTTGATGCATGATGGGTGTAGTGCTTGGCGTATGGCGGGGAGTAAATGTCTGTTGCAGACGAGACTGAATCGTCCAAGGTGATATCTAGTTTCCATAGCAAAGTATGCGCTAATGGAAATTAGAGTCAAACTCCGTCGGAAGATGCTCGCTCGAGTTCTGAAGGGCGGCTCTTGCGAACTTTCTCGGAGTTCCCAGATGGCAGGGTGAAGCGCAGGGTGGAATCTTGGCGTCTTGCACAAAAGCAAGAAACAAGTTGGGTTCGGCTAATCCCGATTCCTCTTTCTTCGCACATTACTCAGGGGCAGCGCGTTCAACTGTCCTACAAGCTCATGCATAAAGATCCAAAGGGAAGGAGGGATTACAGAAGTTTAGATACTCTAAGTATGGTTGATCAAAAAATAAGTAGAGAGTATGATAATCAAAAACGATAGCAAGCACAAAATCAGTCTAAATTTAGTCTTCGGTCTCACCTCGACTTTCAGACATTCGACACGAGCTCTATTCCGTCCTTTCAACAACTACCACAAGCTCATCTGACCACTCCTGTTGAGCTTCAAGGTCCACTTCAAGGACTGCACTCTGCATGGTGGAGTGCTGAATGCTTGTCACGGAAAGATGTGAAGGTTGCAAAGATGCCTGGAAATGAAGAGTCGACACTGTTGCACTTTCATCATGTTCTTCAGTTGGATGTGTGTGCCCTGCTGCTGCTCTGCCAACAAGGAGTGTGGGTGCAACTCCCTACACAAGGTGCTTAATAAATAACAAGATTTAATATTGTGAACACACCTTCGCAATACCAACTATGGGATCAAGGTAATACCATCCAAAATCATGGCGAATGTAGAAAGCCAAGAATAGAATCAGACTTATTGAATAGAGAGCAGAGGATTCCACTAGCACTTCAATAAAACAGTGATAAACTCTCAGTCTGCTGCCTGCTCCATGTCTAACCCCAGTAACAGTCAAAATGCGGAAAATGATGAGCAGTGTGCACCATAATGTTGTTACCAGGACAAAGGATGTGTAGAGCATCATGAATAGTACTGGCTTAGATGCATTGAAGTAGTCATGATATATAATAATGATTTTTGACACTAGGGACAAAGTTGAATATATGAAAAGGATAGATGAGATCAGTCACTTTACCAGTTGCAGAAATCAGGGAAAGGATTGGAAGCAGGACAATAAGCCAGCACTGTCCCCAGACCATCCAACAGCACCAAATCTAGAGTCAAAATGATGGTAAGCTGACATGGATAATGACAAATGAAGTAACACACAATGTATGAGTCTGCAAGAATGGTACTCATAGAGGCTGCAATACCCATCTCCAAAAAGGCTGCTTGGTTCACAGCACAAAGCTTTGAGTATACAGTCCAAAAACTTTGCCCATTTTCAATGAATGCAGAGCATAGAAATGACCAATTGGCAGCAAAATTGATAGTAGTCAAAGCATGAAGGAGAACAAGAACAACAACCAAGGCTCGTCGGATTGGCCAGCATTTGTTGATGACTGTACCACTCACATCAGCTTGGATGTTGTAGTAGAGATGCTCCTGGCTCACATATATTCCACAATGCAACAGCAAGAATTCCAGTGTATATGCCTGTCATCAATTAACACTTACATGTGAAGGCACTAAACATTGTTGCCTACCATGTAATAGTGCATAAAGAATTTGGTTGTTCAGGTTAGCATCAAGATACTGAAACATGAAAGCTTTGTCTTCATTGGTAAGATCTGGTGGAATATCTGCCTGAATCACCATGAGGAAAAGTAAGAGAAATGGGGTAGTGGATGGGAATAACATGTACCAACTCTTCCATTATAAATAGTGCAGCTCATGGCCATGCTTGGCATTGGCTGCTGTAAAGATGTCCATCAGTATCAAGTCGAACCAGGATCCTTACGTGACAAACATGTTTGGCTAATAATTGAGCTGTTGTGCACATTGATAGTTTCAACAGCTTGTGATGGAGATGTGACTTGAAGTGAGATATTCCTGAGGAAAGCCCTGTATTGTAGGAAAAGTGGCGATGTGAACTGGAAGCCTCTCAGAGATGTGTTCTGTTGAATCATGGAAGAAGTTGTGTCCTGGAAGGGAATCAAGAAAACCATCCTGACGAGATTTCAGTGCAGCTGTCAGATTAAGGTTGTTCCATCATAGCGTGAGATTTGGCTGCAATGTTGATAGAAAAAAGGTAGTCTGTAAGTTTTGATGTCATGTATGATAGTGGGGCTTATGGCTCCTGAGTGCTGAGAAAGGGATTGGCAAGGGTATCGACATCTGCAAGTTATACCCGGACATGGTTGTACACAGTGGACGAAAGTTTACTCTGGAAATGATTCATCTATCAGAAAAGAAGGGGAAGAGAACACAACACATACCCCGTGATGAGCTTGAAGAACCCCGATCTCTTCCAGAGGCTGTTTCCTTTCCCGTACTTGATACATCTCCGGAGACAGGGCATTGCGCAGTGTATCCGAGTATGAGTCGATCGGACCCACCTTTTTGTATCGTTGGTTCTTCATTTACCATCACTGGACGCTGAGATTGGCAAAGATGGTGTCATAGGCCATGACCGAGCAGAGAGAATAGGCCTGTGTGCTATAGATGTCAAGGCTAATGTTGACATGGCACGACAATATTGGAGGGAAGTTATTGCTGTTTGCAGAATAGTTGGTGCAGCTGCCTTTTTGGGCTTGATCGCTTTTTTTGTCCGTCGAGTCGCAATATCACTTTTCAGTTATATCTTCTCCGTTTCCCCATCAAATTACATGGAATTTGTATGTGTGTGATTCCCTCACTATTTCCGAGATGCGAGCCCCAATTCTGAAGTTTCGCGAGCAAGTTTTGAGTTCCTCAAATTTCGGCATGCATAACTGACATTTTCATCACTGCGAGAGAAGGTAACCAGATGTAAGCATATGGTAAGCTGAGATAATTTTTGAGTATCATTTCTGAGGTGCATGCAATGGAATTGGAGTTTGTTGGAGGATATCCGTACAGTATACCAAGTTTCCTTATCTTTCTCCCATCGTTCGTTTTACTTACTATATATATCTTACCTCCTGTCCTTGACTCGATCACTATATAGCTTAGCCGTCGATACCCGAGTACCTCAGTCGTTCCACCTTCGCTGTGCCCGACTGAGGTACGTATACCTTACTGTCTCTAGCTTATAACTTACTCACAACTCATTCATACTAGATCATTACTTATATCCTTTGTCTTTAGGTACAGTACCTTTCAATACAGTCGTTCCACCTTCGCTGTGTCCGACTGAGATCATTACTTATATCCTTTGTCTTTAGGTTATGGTGCCCTGTAGCCTATAGCTCAGTCAAAAAGGATACGTGGCAAAATTTTTATTATCAACGACTCAACTACTGCCCACTGCTCACACTTGCCCAACCATTACTATTGAACACATACTCCTAACATGTCGTCGACTACGTCGGGAGTTACAATCCTCCCCGATACCCATAGCCACTTCAACGGGAAAAACTATGCCTCGTGGAAACTTCAGCTTACTGAACTATTGAAGGGGAAAGGATTGTGGGGGTACATAGAAGGTACTATACCCTGCCCTGCCGCCTCTGCGACTTCCGCGAGTGGACCAACAACTACTCCACTACCACCAGACCCCACACCAATCTACTCTTCGAGCCCTTCCCACGACGAATGGACGTTCCGTGATCAGCTAGCTCATTCCCACATTGTTCTCAATGTTCTTGACCCTATCGGACTAGGGGTAAGGACTGACGGGACAGCGAAGGAATGTTGGGATTCTATCATCGCTGAACACGCCAAGAAGACTGACATGGCTCTCTCCGAGGCTGAGACATCCTTGAATGCAGTCAAATTTGATGGCAATGGTGATATTGATGCCCATGTTGCAGAGCTCCGTACAAAGAGACGTGCCATTAATGATCTTCGTGCCACCCCCCTCACAGACCAGGAATTCCGCGGTATCATTATTCGCTCGATTCTCCCAATGGCCAACTGGATGCCTATCCTCCCAAGCTTGTATCAGCTGTCTAGCTCCACAGATATAATCTCCCACCTTCAGACCCATGCTGCTACCTTACGTGCGGCGGGTAAAGGCCCCACACAGTCCCAAGCATTAGCAGCCGGATCTTCTACCATCGGATGCTCTAATCCTGGCTGTAAGGCACGAGATAAGAGCAAACATACTGCGCAAAACTGCTATTGGCCAGGTGGGGGAAAGGAGGGACAATTTCCCCCTAATTTTGGCTGACAGAGACGGGCTAACCATGTAACCGTGAACACTTCGGCCAATACACCAAGGCATTTTGTTCTCGCTGCACGTGTCGTTACTCTTGAGCGGGAACGGGACAAGAATGGGATCATCGTTGAGGATGGGGAGACGGGGAGTCATGCCTATGAGTGGAATGGGACCCGTTCTTTCTGGTGATGGGATGAACCTGAGGGAGATGATTCAGCTTCCACAGCATCTTCCGAAATGGCTGAGGATACCTTTGACATTGAAAGTGTGGGCTCCTCTGCCACTGAGTATTCCAATGCAGACGACGACACAGATGATGATATGCCTGGCTTGACTAGTGTTGATGTTGACGATGATGACAAGGCAGAAAGTGAGGATGAAGCTGAGGATGAAGCTGAGGAGGACGTGGGACCTGCTGAGTTGATTAGCAATGTCGAGGTTGAGGATAGGGCATTTGTGACAACCACCTTTGAAGGACGCACACCCTCTGTTACGCTGACGTTCATGGATTCTGGTGCCAGTGATTACTTCTTCAGAAATTGTGAAGATTTTACGGAGTACACACCCGTTGCTTTCCGCACTGGTTCTTCGGCCATCGAAGGGAAAGGGACTTTTGAGATCCTCGGAAAGGGAACAGTCTCGAAGACTTTCCGTCTGGATGGGAAGGATGTCAAGCTGACATTCAAGAATGCACTGCACTCACCCTCGCTCGCTGCGAACCTCGTGTCTGTTAGCTCTTTGGACAGGGCTGGGCTCTCCACTGTTTTCTCCAATGGACAAGCAGTAGTCTGTGATCAGTCTGGCAAAGAGATCTTTGCTGGACGAGGTTCAGATGGAATGTACATTCTCGATGCAGCCCTCCAACCACAAGCTATGTCGTCCCGCTCGTCCCCTACCTCGCTCGCAGACTGGCACCGTCGTTTCATGCACATGAGTCCCACTACGATTGAGGAGATGGCCTCTAAAAACCTTGTTGATGGCCTGAACATTACTTCCACTTCCCTCCATGGGCAATGCAAAGACTGTATCCTCGCATGCCAGACCCATCGTCCATTTGATGAACCCACGGACCCTGATGTAGAGGGACTCAACCTTGTTGCTACAGACTTGTGGGGGCCGTCGAGGACTGCGTCAGTGAGCGGGAAGACGTATATGATGGTCATTGTGGATAGTGGTACATCGTTCAAGGTGGGGGAATTCCTGGCTGATAAGTCAGATGAGACAACCGTGGCAGCCTTTGATAGGTTCCGGAAGATGGCTGAAACTCAGACAGGGCATTCGTGGGGTCTAAGTGGGCCAAGTACTGTGCGGAGCATGAGATTATTTTGGAGCTGACTGCCCCACACTCCTCAGCGCAGAATGGTCTTGCGGAGAGAGCAATCCGCATGATCATGGAGGATACTCGTGCTTTATTAAGTGACTCTGGTTTGCCAGATCATTTCTGGGCGGAGGCTGCATCGATGTCAATCTTTACATGGAATCTCGCACCTTCCAGTCGTCACCCTGGCAAGGTGCCGGCGGAAGCGTTCACAGGCCATCACCAGGACGTCTCGTTTCTACGTGTTTTTGGGGCTACTTGCTGGGCGAAGAAACCCACTTCGGGTGGTATTCTGGTGGATGGCGGAAGCAAATTGGATGATTGATCGAAGAAGTGCGTATTTTTGGGCTATGCAGGGTCCAACTACCGCATGCTTGATGAATCGGGCCATGTCTTCGTCTCTCGTGACGTTGTTTTTGACGAGGGGCATGCGCATCGCACTGTGAGTGTGGGGGAGACTGAGACAGAAGTCCCACTCACTGTGCAGGAGTCTAACACGCCCTCTACCACATCTGCTTCTGTTCCCCCTACTTCCTCTGTTCCATCAATGACTCCATCAGTTCCCATGGAACCAGTTTTACACTGGTCGTCGCATTTAACTCGCCCTAGTGACAACGCTACTGAGTCTCTATTATCCGAACAATGTGAAGCCGATGCTCGAGACCGTGGAGATGAATGGGCAACTAACAGCAGAAGACCACGAGCATCAATGGCTGCAGCTGAGAACGTGCCCGACTCGTATATCCCAAAGAATTATCAAGACGCCATGCGGGTTGATGAAGAACGCTGGAAGGCTGTGATGGATGTTGAATACCAGATGCACATGACGAAGCACACTTGGGACCTTGTCGATGCACCAGAGGGAGCTAATATAATGGATTTGTAACGAGCATGCCGATGGAAACCCAACTTCCACTCAACCCAACAAGCCACAGCCCGGAAGCCTACGGATTCCGATTCCCAGTTTCTATTTCATATTCCATTTCATATTCCATTTTATATTTCACTTCTCCATATTAATTTATCAATAGCCCAACATCGGTAGTGAACATGTCATCGGACCCCATCGGCTACCGACCGGTAGAATACATCCTCCGACAACCCTAGAATGTAGACCACTCCGAGTAGGAACTAGATCGGACTCCTAACTAGTATATAAGCCTTAGAATTACACTGTAGATACTCAGTTCGAATATCAACTTGGTTCAGCCCAATCTCTCTCTCTCTCTGACTCTAAGTCTAACTCTCGTTCTCCAGTCCGCGGAACTCCGATCCGTTGGACTTATCTTTTACCTCGTCTCTGCCACTCTGCAGACTTCCGCCTGTATCCATCTTAGGGCTTTGGCTCAGGGGTGACGTTGCTAATAGCTTCGCCTACGCCCGACGCATCCCGCGGCATTCTGCTACGTGCACTTACTGCCGCAATCCTATTGGCACGATCCTAACAGGATTGCAAATGGGTCTATGGGATGAAGTGGGATGGCAATGGAAAGTGGTTGCGGGATAAGGCGAGACTTGTAGGGAAGGGTTATATGCAGCAACGGGGCCTGGATTATAACGAGACTTGGGCTGCCATCACTCACCTTGACTCCATTCGCATGTCTGCTGCCATCGCCGCCAAACTCGACTTACACCTATGGCAAGTGGACTTCGTATCAGCCTACCTGAACAGCAAGACAAAGGAGGACATCTACATGCACCAACCACCAGGATACATCATCGAAGGACAAGAGGAGAAGGTGTGCAAGCTGGTTCATACAATTTATGGGACGATGCAAGGCGGTCATGACTGGTTCAAGACACTCGGGAAGACATACAACGACCTGGGATACAAGACTTCTCAGGCCGACCCATGTGTACGAACGATTGGTGAGCCAGGTAGCAATTATACCCTCACAGATACATATACTGACAATGTGTGGGGGGCGTCTTCGAGCATAGATGAGGCTAGCCAAAGGAAAGGGGAGTTGAGGGAGAAATGGGAGCTTAAGGATGTGGGGGAGAACCACTACTTCTTGGGGATGAAAATCAACCAGGACCTCGATGCCAGGACTATATCTTTCTCTCAGCAACCGTACTGGGAGAACGTCATTGAGGATTTTGGCCTTGAATACATCATGGTACGCTCGACCCCACTGCCTGTTGGAATTGTACTCGATAGCTCTCAATGCCCTTCAACCCAAGCCGAGAAGGATGACATGGCTCAGTACCTGTATCGATGTCTCTTGGGCCGAGTTATGTGGGGGCAGCTTGCAACTCGACCCGATCTCTGTTACCCAGTGAGCCTTCTGGCTCGTTTTCAGACTAACCCAGGGATGGCCCATTGGCGTGCACTATTGCATGTCATCGCCTATATCAAAGGGACTATGGACTATGGGGTCATTTTCTCCCGAGACGAACCACTGATGCCAGTTGGGTTCGTCGACGCTGACTATGGAGGTTGCCGGGATACCGCTCGCTCGACCTCGGGCTATGTTTTCACCATGGCTGGGGGGCCTGTCTCTTGGAGTTCGAAATGCCAGGCTGCTGTAGCACTCTCAACCGTTGAGGCCGAGTATATTTCTCTCACTCGCGCCGCCCAACAAATGATGTGGATGATGTCATGGATGGACGAGGTGAAGCTACCGCACCCATGCCCAGGAGTTCTGTATGGTGATAACTAGGGGGCAGTTGCGCTTACAACGAACATGAGGGCCCACCATAAAGTGAAGCATATCTGCATCCGCAAGCATTATATTCGGGAGCTAGTCAAAGACGGCAAGTTACGCATTGATTTCATTCGTGGAAATTCAAACCCGGCCGATATGTTCACCAAGGCTCTCCCTCGGGATGTTCATCATGGCTATCTTGACGATCTCAACATTGCACCTGTGGCATAGTATGGATATGGGGGAGTGTTGGAGGATATCCGTACAGTATACCAAGTTTCCTTATCTTTCTCCCATCGTTCGTTTTACTTACTATATATATCTTACCTCCTGTCCTTGACTCGATCACTATATAGCTTAGCCGTCGATACCCGAGTACCTCAGTCGTTCCACCTTCGCTGTGCCCGACTGAGGTACGTATACCTTACTGTCTCTAGCTTATAACTTACTCACACTCGTTCATACTAGATCATTACTTATATCCTTTGTCTTTAGGTACAGTACCTTTCAATACAGTCATTCCACCTTCGCTGTGCCCGACTGAGATCATTACTTATATCCTTTGTCTTTAGAGTTGTGGTGGCATCCTATTGTTCCTTTAGGATGTCAGGGTCCGGGTCGAAACATGCAACTCTTGATTTAACACCGTGATGATTTTTCTGGCACCAAAAATGCTGTTGTGCATCTCGCCTTGTATGAATACATTGACTTTCTCCCTTGGAGCATCTTCGTAGCATCCGTTGTTGGCAAGATACAGCTGAAAAGTTGATCTGAGCCCTCACAGCAGGCTAGAATTTTCGAATTGACTAAATTAAAATTCTGACTGCACCGGCACCTCAAGGGCTTCAGGAAATGTCGAAACATATGTTATTTCAAGCAAATATCTAATGTACTGACCGAGCTACAGCTGAAAAGTCTTTCGCGCCAAAAAAAAAGCAACCAGGCCCAAAAAGGCAGCTACGCCAACTATTCTGCAAACAGCAATAAATCAAGTTACACAGAAGCGTGATCGGGCACCTAGAAAAGATCGGAAAAAACAACGAACGAGGGGAGATACCTGCTCGTTGAGCGACGAAGAAGACAGGGCTTCACATTAGATACGGTTCAAAAAAAATGGCTGAAGATAGATTAATGGTTCATGGTTTCCTGTACTTGTTACGCATTAGATTTCCACTCCGCTTCGCTGTCATCCATTCCCTCGTAGTATTCTCATTTCCAGATCTGTGCATTTTGCTTTACCTCTTCAAAAATCCTCTCGCAGGCTACGAAAGCTTCTTTACGGTGGGGGGAGGAAACGGCGATGACTGGGGATTGAGTTAGTGTAGGGATGGGACATGGATGAGGGTTGTGCCAATACCTATTGAAGGTTCTCCGACGGGAACAGCACCAATCCGGTGACGAACGGCACGACGGACGAGCGAGGTTTGTGGTTCTGGTTGATGCTCCGAGCGTCGTCTTGGATTATACTAGCCATAGTCTTGATAGCCAATTTTGAATAACCTTGGTATTCAAGGCGCATAATGGTTCTTCCTAGCACATAGATATGCATTTTGCCGTAGTGCCGATGGATTGCGACCAACGTCTGAACGAATTTCGCGTAGTACCTAGGCAGTATAAAGTTATCAGAACCAAGCTAAGAGCGGGTCGACCTTACCGATGAAAACGGCGGATTAGTTCCCACTCACTTCGCGGCGCCCTCTCTTCGCGGCCTCTCTGGCCCGAGGTTCAGATGTACAAAGCTGGTGTGGCTGGTCCCCTATTTGACGGGCTACGAGCCATGTACAGCGGTATGTACGTCTGGGGAAAATTCGTCAGACTTCTTTACAGCTGATGTGGGGATTCTGGCGGGGAACTGTACATCTCCTGGAGTCTGGAACTTCTTTGGATCTGACTTAAAGCCGCGCCCCCGCCCTGACGATGTGTTCTTTGGTGACCAACTAATCTTGAACATGCCGATGTGGTCCACATCTATCCCTAGGATACAGTCTCCTGCGATGACTATGGGCCGTGGGCAAGCAGTAAAGGATTGTTGATCAAATTCGCAAAGACATACGCACTTTGATCAGTTGGCACAGCTGGGTGCCGATTATTTGGCACCTCCCTAATAAGGAAATACTAAAGGATTTTAATGTCATTCTGAGGGCAGGCAGGGCACATTTTGACTCGTGCAAAATAGTTGTCACCCAGCTGTGCGCATGGGATCTCGTGCTGTATTTTTTCTTACAGCATATCTACGCTCTCCTCTCTTGACCCAAGACCATGTACACTGCCGACTGCGTTGCCAGAGTCGCCCCTTGAAGTGTACTGACGACACCAAGTACCTCGGTATCGTGTTCTGCTCCACAGCAATGGATATCTCGAAAGAGCACTCTGTCGAGGTGGTAAAGATTCAAGAAGGCACTGCGTGTTTGCGATGGAGAGGTATCTGGGGGATATCCACCCTCGCAATTTACAGCGCCTGGGTTGACTCTCTCCTCACTTACGGGTCCCAGGTTGTGGTCGTCACTACACTTAGGCAGCTGGAAAGGGTCCAAATCTTGTGGTTGAGTGGGAACAGGTGTTGGCTGACAGACATCACTACCCGCCCTTCAACGTCTCAACTACCCAATCCATGCAACTCTGGAGGAGCTATACGACACAGATTTCGTAACGATGCTGTCGAGTCGATGTGGAAAGACCGAGGTTCGTCGATGATCCTACTACGTCTCTACTCGTTCAGGTCTTCTCCCGCAGTGTTCCGGTCTCACCTCGACATTCGTATTACGGCACACCGTATTGCGATGACCCGGGCTTTGACTTGAATAGCAGTGTTGACAGGGAGTTCCAATGAGGTGGAAGATTTTCCTCGTGTTCTGTTGTGTGCACTTACCAGCCCAGCCTGCTCGCGCGTCCTTTCTCTGGGAACGGTATCCTGGTTGTAGAAAGATCGTCCGATCACCCGCTGGTGGAGACGGATGTCCTTGTCGCAAGTGCGGCACGCTTCGTTGACGATATGTAACTGTTCCTTTCATCAGTCTACTGCCGAGGCCGTGAGGGGTACTCATGACGGGCTTTACCATAGCCGCAGAGCATAGGACGGGTGTAGCAGCATTACTCCTCATTTGGTCTTTTCTGTAGTTCGCACATTGTAGCTAGCGTCGTAGATACCGCCTCTGTACCTTGAGGAGCTGTAGTACGGACCGCGGCTCGTTTCCATCGAGGAACACCGTCGGGTAATAAAACAACTTCCTTCCAGTTAGTATGTACAACAAAAACTATGTATTCTATATAATCTATGGCGAAGATAGCTCCTTGCGAGGCGTAAGTAACCCCTTCTCTCGTGCAAACTCGATGGTTCGAGCAGAATTAGGATCTGAAGGTGCGACGTAAAATTGGTCAATTATCGGTATTTGTAAGAGATTCATCTTGGGCGTGATGACAACCATGGTGTTGGTTTTTATTTCCATCCAATCAGCTAAGGAAGGAGGATAAGCACCGGTACACGAATAATAGAGGCGACCCTCACCTCGTTCAAACGTAAGTGGCTCGCTCGCAATCTGGAAGGATACGTAAGTCATGCAGACGAGTTAAATAAAGGCGCACCATGATTATGTTCTCTCGCTTGTCAGCCTTTGACATTTTATAGTGACCGCCATCGGCGTATTCACTGAACGTTGTGCCGGACGAGAACCACTGCGATCACGTCAGCCATTAGCTTGATAGACCTCAGCAATGCATATTTACCAGGGAAGCTGCTTCATCTTTCCGTGATGAGATATACCGAGTAGCAATGACAGCATCCCCATCCGTTACACAAAAGTTCATAAGACTCGGCTATAGAGCAACACAATCAGATCCACGAACACTGCAAGAGAATTGCTTCGAACCTCAGTGAATCCCAACCTCTTCCGCAAAGGTAATTCAAGGAAGCAATCGTGTCAAGCATCGCCTTTCGCAGTGTTTGGGAGCTAAAGGTCGTGGCGTTCGGGTCTGGAAGCTGGCCGGAGATGAGAAACCAAAAGGAACAGCCGTAGAATTCGGGTCACCTTTGATAGAAAGAGTGCAAAGGCCCATTCAGAGTCTAATAGCAGTGTGAGCTGGGAAATGGAGGGAATTTGGGGTATGACTCGCCTGTGTTGCCTTGGACCATATCAAGGCGACATCAGGCAATTGACTCTGCAGTTTCCGCTTGATCAGATGGAAATCGGCGATACCACCCATTGTGCATGAACTAGATCCGTCCGTCTGTGAGTCACAATTTGGCTAGGCAAAGGGGAAATCAATGTACCATGAGCTTTCCGTGTACAAACGGATGACAGTTGTCTAGAGACAATGATCCCGCTGTCGTAGCTCGTACGTGTCCACTTGAGGATAATGAATACCAAAGCGAGGTAACAGCCGATGTCTCCGACTCACAATACTAGTGGTGACTTGATCTTTTCAGCGAGTCGTGTAAGATTGATATTATTCCATGCCTGGATCTCTTCAGATAACCGATGACCATGTAGGACCACACGCACTCACTGGTGTGACAGACGTGAATATGCAAGGCTGGGCACCCAATTCCTCGTCGGTATACAGAATCATACCATCCTGTCCTCCGATGGTCAGGAATGAACGGCCAGTGACTCAAACACGACACGCGACCACCACGTACCAACACCAAACCCATCTCCGTTCATCGGTCTCCGGCGATCTAGTCGTAACGAGAGTCAAATGCTTGGTTTATTATTGAATGGCATGGTCGCGTTAGAAGCTAATAAAAGTCAGGGCAGGGAATGACGAGGGGATCCACACGGACATGTGAGAGTTGGACGGGAGACGTGCCCTTGTAGATCACAAAACGACACATTGGCTGTAGGTGGTGGTAGGTAAAGAAGAAGAACAAAAGTGAAGAACGGAGGTTCGAGACATGACAGTCGAATCACACAATGTGATGAAATCTGCACAAATCGGCTTATTTATTTAATGACGACCGTCCAAGCATACATAAAATTACACGACGATTTCTACTACTGCCTAGGTGAGGCCCGGTTCCTCCTGGATGCCTCGCTTAATCTTCAGCAACATGCTGGTTTTCCAATTATCAAGCTTGGTAACCTGGTCGTACTCCACCACAGCTCCGGTATAAGCCTCGATATCTCCAGCTTCCATAGCCTCAATCAGGGCATTCAGAAACTTGCTCTCCCGAGTAGACGCAAATGTCACATCCTGACTCGCATAGGCCTGCGCACTTCGCCGGGCGGTGACAGGATCCTGGCATAGCATTAGCACAAGATGGCGTCGTAAACACGACATCAGACACGTACATTCATAGCTAGAGCACACAAGCCGGCCCGTAGCCAGTATTCCTTCACGCTGTATTTCGTCAGGTTCGATCCTAAAGAGTGATTGGCGACTTCTTGGTAGCGAGCGATGGCTTGCGGGTATTCTTCGAGGTCGGCGTGTAGGTCGGCGGCGTCTTTGAAGCAGGCGTTGGCGGTGCTGCGAATGAAATGAAATGATGATCTTGGGATATGGGACATGGTACTCACGCCATGGCGTCCTCCTGGGCGTACCACTCCCCAGCTCGCTCGTAGCTGTCGCATGCCTTCCGTAGATCGTTGTTCTCCTGCAGATATATCTGCCCGATTTCCTTCTCCCTATCGGCCGCCTGCCGGAACCTCCCGCACTTGGTGAGGAAGGTTATAGTTTGACCCAGCGCATCGATGGCCTCTGATATCCAAACAGATAAGCAGAACGAAATAAACACAGCACAAAGATGCGTACGCTGAGGATATCCGCGCTTGTACGCCTTGGCAGCATTCCACCACGCATTAGCAGCCTCACTGTCTTCCTTGCACTGCTCCCTACACTCTGCCTCCCTAGCAAAGCAGTCCCCAGCCTCCTTGAAGAGCTTCTCGAGCTTGAAAGAATTCGCAGCCTGCTGATACAGGTCTCCGGCTTCTTCCCATTTGGTGGAAGAGGACGAGAACCAGCCAGTGGATGAGTTGGCCTTCTTGTCTGCCTTTTCTAACAGGACCTGCGCAGGAGACTTAGACGGCATGTAAGGAGTAGAGATGCCCTTTAGATTAGAGATGATGATGATGGTTTGAGTCTCAATTAATGCGTCATAGCCACGTGCAACACTTTCCTGTGCAGCAGACCCACACTACAGCTCCTTCACCTTAGTTTCCCTCGACGTTGGTCGTAGCAGTAATGGCCTCTCTCCCTCGCTCAGAAATCCAATCCCTATCCGATCTCCACCCAAAGCCAGAGAACGTCACTTACCAATATGGTACAGCCGGCTTCAGGACACTGTACGTCCCGATTCGACTCGATACACGATGATCTACTCACCAATATCGCAGGGCATCCGTATTGGACCCTGTCCTATTCAGAGTAGGCATCATCGCTGCGCTGCGAAGCAAGAAATTCGATGGCAGGACCGTCGGGGTGATGATCACCGCGTCCCACAATCCTGAGGATGTACGTTTCCGTCCTCGTAACCTCCCTCTCCATCCCACCCTTAGTCGTTGCTACCCTAGGACAACGGCGTCAAGATAGTTGATCCGCGAGGCGAGATGCTCGAAGCATCGTGGGAAGGACACGCTACCGTCCTCTCCAACGCTACAGACTTTGTCGAAGCTCTAGAGGCGTTTGTGCAAACAGCCAAAATCGACTTGGCGAAGCCATCTCGCGTCGTTTACGCGAGGGATACGCGGCCGTCCGGCCCGGCGCTCGTAGCCGCTCTGGAGGACGGGTTCAAGTCTATTGGAGCCGATGCGAGGAACGCCGGTGTTACTACGACTCCGATTTTGCACTACTTGGTCCGAGCTATCAACACCAAGGGTACAGAGGACTCGTACGGGGTTGATTCGGAAGAAGGCTACTTTAAGAAACTCAGCGGTGCTTTCAAGAAGCTCATCGTGAGTATCCTTCTTAAGGTTTTATTTGCATTAATGTCATCTCTCTTCAGGCTGGGAGACCAACACCGCCACCACTGCTCATTGATTGTGCTAATGGTGTCGGTGCCATTGCTGCCGAGCAATTATCTCAATACCTAGGTGATACCCTTCCATTTTCTTTAGCGAATACCGCGACAACCGCTCTTGGAGTCTTAAACAAGAACTGCGGTGCAGATTTTGTGAAGACGACACAGAAACTCCCTCCATCGTTAGCCGACAAATTACAGCCTGGTGAACGTGCTTGTAGTCTTGACGGTGATGCCGATCGCCTAATGTACTACTACACCTCGATGAACGTGGCCATTTCCACATGCTCGACGGAGACAAATCGCGGCGCTGGTTGCTGCTTTTATTGTCGACCTCGTCAAACTCGCGGGTCTTGAAAACGAAATCAAAGTCGGCATCGTGCAAACGGCTTATGCCAACGGGGCCTCGACAAAATACCTCCTAGAAGTACGTCGTTCTCCAATCCATAGAATCCACATACTTATGGAAGAACGAAGCGTCTTCCTGTCAAATGCGTGCCTACTGGTGTGAAACACCTACACCAATGCCGCGGAACACTATGACATTGGTGTGTACTTCGAAGCCAACGGACATGGCACCGTTCTCTTCTCGAGCACTACACTGGCCACGCTGAAATCCCATCAACCACTGTCACCTGCCCAGTCCGGAGCTCTAGAACACTTGATCAGCTTGACGGAGTTGATCAATCAGACGGTTGGGGATGCGCTGTCTGATATGCTTCTCGTTGAAGTTGTCCTTGCCCATAAATCTTACACTGGTGTCGAGTGGGACTCGCTGTACGCGATCTGCCTAACCGGCTTGTCAAAGTGGTTGTTGGTGATCGGAATGCGTTCCGCACGGAAGATGCTGAGAGGCGGCTTGTTAGTCCTCCGGGGCTTCAGCAGAAGATTGAGGAGCTGGTTAATTTGTATCAGGGTGGTCGTTCTTTTGTCCGCCCTAGCGGCACGGAGGACGGTTGTTAGAGTATATGCAGAGGCTGCTATACGTGCCCAAGCTGATGGTGAGTGTTCCTTTTGTTTTGAAAGTGTCATATTTTTAAAATCTCTATGAATAGAACTTGCGTTCAGAGTGGCTGGACTGGTCTACGATGAAGCTGGTGGGGATGCTGCTCAGCGGCCTAAGGAATTCTTGTGAGATGGGAGATGTTTTTCAATTTGACTAGCAACGGAATGGACATGCATAATGGTTGTACTTAGTAACAGTTTGCCTAACTTCGAAATTTTCAATGGTCAATTTAGCTGCCCAATTTAGGCGCGTACGTGGTCACACGTCACCAAATTTACGTTAGGAAATAGCCGGGACCAGATCGCAGGCACTGCACCGCGCATATTGACAAATTTCCTCCTTCTTCAATGCCACGATGGCTGTCGTGGCCTTTCTCTTCCTTCGTTTGATTCATGCGTTATATTCCATTGCCGTCTTCGTGTCTTCGTGCTGGCAACGTTTCAATTTTGTTCCGCCTCTTCCTCTCAATGCAACGCGTCGTCGTGTACCAAAACACTTGGCCGTGATTTTCGTTCCAGACCTTGATGTACATCCGGACATTCACATGTGTGTTTGTTGGAAAGTGTCTATAGGACGATAGACTGGTGTCGTGAATTGGGCATTGAGAAGGTTACTTTATATGACAGTGAAGGTGTGCCTTTTGATGTGTATTGACGGGACGGTTGTTCTCACTGCACTAGGGTTACTCAGCAGGCATCAGCTACCACCATTCGTCACCATATAGCCCTGTCATCGCAACCTTGTGAAACTGCTGCCTCCGTGGACCACGAGTATCCCCCAACACCCCCGCTCTCGGAGCCAGATTCCCGGCCAGTCTCTCCAGAACATATTCCAGAAGTGAATCCATACACGGTCATTTCTCTTCCAAGGTCTTGTGTTGCTGCGGATGGACGACGGAGACCTTCAGGTGCGTAGACATATCGACAAGACATTTACTGGTTGTGTACTAATAATATCTTGGTAGCTACGCGAAATTCACATGGACCAATGATATTGTACCTCGTCTCCTCCTCCTCATCTAAACCCGCGATCGCTGCGGCTGCGCGTTCCATTTGCAAATTAGAGCTCTCTTATTCAAAAATATCTACCGACAAATTTAAACTTTCGGTTGAGGAATTAGGTCAGAGACTCGAGGGTATGTACCGGCTTGTGCTTTTCTTTTTCTGCTATTGATGTCTTCGCTGTATGTAGGAAAAGACGGAGTTCCTCCACCTGATTTCATGATCGTGCACCCGATGTCTCCATCCAAGTATAACCGTACACCACCAGAACTACACGGGTTTCCTCCTTGGCAACAAGACTTACTGAAATATAGTAGGATTCCTCCTTTGATTGTATAAGAATACCCAGCGTCTGATATCTCCCCAGCCATAATCGACACATAAAACGGCACGCGGCTTGGATAACTTGGGTCCTCCCTCAGAGATTCTACTCTGCCAGATGGCCCGTCCCACTAACGGAGATGGAGTTTAGAGAGGCCCTTGACGAGTACGCAGGTGCCGAGATGCGCTTTGGGAAGTAGCTGTGTGTGTAGAAGTTGTTCTAATAATGTTGGACATTTATACAAGTTAGAATACATATCTGTGAGTGTTTTGGTGGAGGTGACTCGCGATGCATGAGCTGACGCGTATAGCTAGGTTTATGTATACTTGACCTTAATCCCATTTCGTTTCACCTATTCCTAAGGTGAAGCTGTGTTTGTCGAAGCAGCACAATCCGACCGCAGATCTAGCCGTGAAGTGCTGTCACTCGCGCTTGCTTCTCTCTGTTTTCGATGGACAGTCCAACGTAGCTGCTCAGACGAGCATTCTCAGTGTCAGCTTGTCAACAGCGAAACAGGAATCTTAAGCACGTCCTTATGATGTACCTTCGGACGTCTTCCCATCTATATCACACGGGCATTCTGGCCTTGGGTGTAAAACGAGCCCAAGAACAGGTGCGATTCTCTTCAAGTATACCGGTTATTCAAGGACAGGCTCCATGTCATATTGTTGAGAAATAGGATGCATGCCAACTGAAATGAACCGTGACGCAGCGAAGACAAGCGGCGACTGGGTGACAAACGACGGGAACGGCAGACTGTGATCGGCGCCGTCATGTAAGAGTGCTGGAGATATCAGCTGCAGTTTAAAAGGCCCCCTTTGCGAGTGAGTTTTCCGCGATTCCTTCCATCCAATGAGTCAGTCTGAAGTTTCGACTGACAACACGCGCCGATAGAAAGAGGCTGATAGTTTGCTGTGATGGGTAGGTGAACTTTTTGGAGATCACCATGTTCGCTCTGACAGAACGAATTTTGGTTAGGACGTGGCAGGATGGTGGGTCTTTAGACAACTCTCAGCCGCCTGCTTACTCACTCACCTCACGTAGGCGTGTTAACGCAGGATCGCTTGTTATATACAAATACGCTGGTAATACATTCACTCTCTTTCCGTCTTATGTTTATGTGTAGCATTGTTGCAATTGACACTATAGAGGCTCGCAAGAACAATCACAAACGAAGACACACGATCCGATCCGCCAATACAGCAAATTGTTTTCTACCAATCCGGAATAGGTTCTGAGGGAAACCTCTACGATGAATACGTCGATGGTAATAACAAGATCTTTTCTATCCTGAACACTCTTGCTCATGTATTTCCCTCGAAGCGACTACTGGAGGATCCTTAGGTATATGCTCTCCGTTCTCGATGCTCCGGCCATGCTCTGATATGGCACTACCTCTAGCTGATAAAGTGGAAGAAGCCTATGGTTTTATTGCCCTGTTCGTTCTCTCCTCTCCATTTCCTATGCGTCGAATCACTGAGCGGCTCTCAGAAACTATTTTCCGGGTGACGAGGTATGAAAGTTATGAAAACTATTTCATACGCCTGCCAACTTACCCGCTCGCCTGTAGATATTCCTATTCGGATTTTCGAGGGTAAGGAAGACTAACCAAGCTGACGGGCCCTTGATTCTTATTGAAAAGACTCCGTAGGGTGCATATACTGCGCGTATGGTAGCCATGTTCATTGTAAGAGACCTTGCTCTTCTCTTCGGTATCAGACGTACTTGGTCAAAATTTTCAGGGAGCGATCGGGCTTCTCGACCGCAGGGACATGGACAACTTTGCTCGGATCTTTATTGCCTACCAACGTCTTGCTAAAAGTGACAACGAAACAGGCTCGGTTTTCCAGTTATCTCATAAGCGTTGACACTCACTGTTTTATCAAAAGAGCGACGCTTACTAAGAGATGAACTGTACGCTTTCACGAAGCCAGATGCACATGGGCTGCAGCGTGCTAATACTCCTTTTTCCATCAAGTAAATATTGACTTTGACTGGTTTCGTCGCTCGCTCGCTGCTTACATTCGACTTAGATGCGTTGGCGTATTCGAGACTGTTGGTTCCCTCGGGCTTCCTGACGAGCTTACTCTTAATCTCAAGAAAGCAAAAGAGATATTCGGATTTCCTGACAAAGTTTTAGGAGGACATATCAAACGGGCGTACCACGCTCTGGCGCTGAATGAAACGCGCCGAGATTTCGTAAGGACAAGTCCGCTCCTGGTCGTCCTTACCCTTCTGACACTGTTCGTTGATGTTATAGGATTGCGCAAAGTATGAGCGAGCGCTGAAGGTCTCAGTAAAGGGCAAATCCTCAAACAAGTAGGTCGATTGTTCACTAAAAGCTAGCCTTCCCCCTTCTGACTTGATTCTTTGTTAGTGCTGGTTTGGCGGTTAGTCTCTTGAATGTATATTGTACGCAAAATCTGAAAAATCAAATGTCCTTAGGGTGCCATTCAGATGTAAGCTAACATCCCGAACCCTTTGTCAAGTTCTCATCCAACTCCTTGACGTAGATAGGAGGAGGATATCGGGACCACGACTTGGCGGACATAGTATTGATCTGGGGCGGTAAGAACCAGAGCATCAGCGCCCTAAAATTAGGCTGACCTAATCGGCAGGCTAACATTCAGGATATGCTATCTCTAGATATGGAATATCTACGCTCCGTGCCTTCGCCCGTTGCACCTTGGGGCGCTCAGAAGCCGCACAAGTAAGTGATTATGTTTTCTTCCTTTGCATTGATCGTGCCTTAGCCCTAGAACAGGCCTGTCGTCTTTGTTTTTCGCTACACAGCGCAAATTACCTCTGAGTATTGACAATGTTACCAACGAAACGATCCATCTGTCTGTGCTTGAGCAGGCCGAGTTACCTTCTGTGCTTGCTGACGCTATAGCAGCAGGAAACACGCCGGTGGAAAACTCCTTCCCCTGGAAGAGGAGTTCAAGGTCAAGTGGATCGTGGAAAGAGAGCCTCAGGATATTCTCCAGCGCTGGAAGAGAGACATTTTATACTAGACTATTGCATCATCGCCTGACTTCACGTTATGAATATATCAACGTCTATGATATTTTGAGGTCATAGCGACTACGGTCAAATAAAGAGTCGACGAAGAGAAGATTTTAGACCTACTGAAGTAAGGTAACTGAGGATGATACGGTCTAAGGATGATGGAAAGTGGATTATTTAATGATTCATGGTCCTCGTAATTGTTATGTGTTAGCTTTCCACTCTGCTTCGTTGACATCCATCCCTCGTAGCATTCTCGTTTCCGACCCGTGATTTTGCTTTATTATCCCAGGTATGGTGGCGATGGACTGTCTTACTGGGCAAGTCAGTGTAACCGCAACCATCAACATTGCTAGGTGGAGCGGTAAGACTTGCAGTCATAGTCGCCGCTGTTGTTTAAACATAATCGTTGTAATGAATGCTGTACCAGCTCGTACGCAAGCACATTATCGATAGCGAGCCGCTACCGGTTGCTCAGTCATGAATACCCTTCAGAAAGTCGTTCAGTTAGGACTTGGATCATCACAGGCATACGCACCACCACCGAGAGTGAACCCAGTCGCATCAATCCCCATTACCCTCCCCGAGTGCATTCACACCCTGGGCATCCAGCACGCATAGACGTCATCCCAAATATTACCAGCACCGACTGCCGCCATCCGTGTCGCAGAATCGTACGCAAGGCATTGGAAACTAGACATTGAGGAGAATCCTTGATTCGTGGCATGTCCGCCGCTTTTGGGTAGTTAATTTTAACTTGGCTTGACTTGGATGCGTACACTAAACGGCGTCAAGACGAAGATTGGCGATCACGGATAGGCTGCAAAGGCGATACTCGCAATGATACCGACATCTTAAGAAGACTCACGTTCGATGGTGCATTTGGAAGGTTGCGAGGTTGATGCATGATGGGTGTAGTGCTTGTTGTCTGCGACGTATGACGGGGATCCGGGATATAGATGTCTGAATCATCCAAGGTGGTATCTAGTTTCCATAGCAAAGTGATGCGCTAAGGGAAACTAGAATCAAACTCCAGATATCCCGTCGGAAGATGCTTGCTCGAGTTCTGAAGGGCGGCTCTTGCAAACTTTCGAGTTCCCAGATGGCAGGGTGAAGCGCAGGGCGGGATCTTGGCATCTTGCACAACAGCAAGAAACAAGTTGGGTTCGGCTAATCCCAATTCCTCTTTTTCGCGCATTACTCAGGGGCAGCGTGTTCAGCTCCTTAGGACTGTCCTACAAGCTCATGCATAAAGATCAAAAGGGAAGGAGAGATTGCAGAAGTTTACATACTCTATAGTTGATCGAAAAATAAAGTAGAGAGTACGATAATTAAAAAGGATAGCAAACAAAAATTACAGTCTAAATTTCGTCTCCAGTCTCACCCCGACTTTCAGACGTTCGCCATGAC